CCAAAGAGATCTACAGGGTCAATGTCATCCTATCAATGTCCCAACAGCCCATTAACATTATAATTTGCTTAAATGGAAAACTCACTTGAAAACTAACACGGAATTGCAAGAGATCCAAGTAGTTAAAGTGTGGCTGAAAAGAGCAACAAAGGTGGAGGACTCACACTTCCCGATTTCAGAACTGAAGGCCAATGAGAGGAGCCCAAAACAGAGTGGTACTGGCATGAAGACAGAGGGAAAGGTGAGCCCAGAAATAAACCTACACCTCTGAAGTCAATTGGTTTTCAGCCTGGGGACCAAGACTATTCAATGGGCATAAGAACAGTGTCTTCAATGATTGATGAGGGATTACTGGATATCCAAGAAAAAAGAAGAAAGAGGGACCCTACCTCACACACACACACACACACACACACACACACACACAGATTAACTCAAAATAGAACAAAGGCCTCAATCTAAGAACTGAAGCCCATAAGAGGATCTTGGATTTGGCAATGGATTGTTAGATATGACACTGAATGTACGGCAATGAAGGAGAAAGTAGATAAAGTAGACGTCCTCACAATTCAAAACATCTGACTTTAAAGTGAAACGATTATCACAGAGATGAAAATATAATCCATAGGATGGAGAAACCATTTCCAAGTTGCATATATCTTAATGGTCTCCTGTCAAAGTAGATGAAAAGCTCATACAACTCAAAGGACCAACCCAATCACAAATGCACAAAGGATCTGAACAGACATTTCTCCAAAAAAATACACAAATGGCCAGAGGCACATGAAAAGATGCTAACCATCACCAGTCACCATGGAGATGCAACTCAAACCGGCTGTGAGACATCTCCTCACATTCACTAGAATGGCTGTGATAAAACCAAATTAATCAGAAATAACACTTTTTTTCAATGGTTTTGCACCCTCTGGTATAATATACAGTAATATAGCAACTTTGCAAACAGTCTCGTGGTTCCCCCCAAAATTGAACCCAGAATTACCATGGTATCTAGCAAGTTCTTGGTAGATACTCCAAGAACTGCAAATAGTTATTCAAACAACACTTACATAACAATATCTTTGCAGCACTATTTACAACAGCCAAAACGTAGCACCAACCCAAATGTTCATCAGTGGCTGAGTGGGTCAACTCAACACCTATAGGATGGAATAATACTCAACTGTGAAGAGGGATGGAGTGATGCTATGCCATGCTCAACTGCATTATTCTAGGTGAAAGAAGCTAGAGGGACAGGTCACACTTTGCTTTACACTAAGTTGTAGAATAGGCAGCTCCTTTAAGACAGCAAGCAGGTGAGTGGATGCCAGGTTTGGGGGAGGGGAGGAATGAGGAATGAAAGCTGAGGAGGCACTGTGTTTCATTTTAGAGAAAAATGTCTTAGAAATGACGGTAATGGCTTCATCAGTTTGTGAAGGTTCTTGATTCCACTGAAATGTAGAACTGGTGGATTTTATTCACATATTTATTTTTTGGTGAATGATAAGTGTTGGTATTAAATGGTGAATTTTATGTGATGTTAATTTTACCACAATTAAACATAGCATACTTAAAAAAATATTCATTTGTATTCTTCCACATTAGTTTTTTGAATCTGTTTCTATTTTGCTACTTAAATGTGTACTATTTTTGGTTTTATGCCTTTTTCACTGTTGTGTTTATTTATGTGAGTCACGCTGAGGTACAGTGTGGCCACTCATCTCTAGTGGGATCAGAAGAGGATGAGGCAAGGAACAGGAGATGGCACAGACCCAGGGACTTACGTGTGCCTGCAGAATAATTGAAGGTTGCTGTCCCCTCAGGCAGACCCCTGCTCAGGTGTCTCAGGGCACTCGCCAGGTCTGCCAGCAGGTGAGTGGCCACACAGTGCTTCTGTGAGGGGGGCAGGGTCTCCAGGTCCCCAGGGGTCTCCAGCAGCTCATCCACCTCCTTTATGATCCCCTGGAGGGATAAGGGCACAGAGCAGTTGGACTTGGGCCAAAAGGACCATACGAAAAACTTGACCACTCAGCCGAGAGAACAGACCCAGACATTGTCCAGTTGGGGATAGAGAGAGCATGGTTTGGGACTCCCTGGGTGGTCCTTGCTCCTCAGAGGTCAGCCCTGGTTCGTGACCATCAAGGATGACAAAACCCAAAGACAAGGATGAGAGCAAGAGTATAGACAGTGCACCTGGGCGTCCAACAGTTTTTGTGGCTCCCAGTGTCCTCTTCCACCTGCCCTGAGAGACTGGCCAGCTCAGAGCAGGACCCCACTGTGCTTGGGCCTATTTCCCCCCACCCAGACCAAATCTGCCCCCCTCCCTCTATGGGAGGTCTCCACCAGCTTCCCCTCGATCCTGCCCTTACCTGAATGGTGTCCTTGGCCATGGCTGACTTTAAATGCTTTTGCAGATTGTTGACTTTGTCAATGAAGCGGGAGAGACTCTGGGAGGTGAGATGAGGGGTCACAGGTGGGTGGGATTCTCAGGGCCAAATAGTGGAATAGGCAGCTCCTTTCTCTCATGGCCCTCATTTGGTGGACAGGGTGCTGCACCAGGGATTCCCATCTCCGTGTCCTGGTTGGGGTGGCTTACCTGGCTGTGGACTCCAGGGGGCAGAGGCCAGGTGAAGAAGGGCTTGACTGCAGGGACAGGACAGTGATTCATTAGGAGGAGCATGTGTGTATGGGCATGTGTGTGCGTGCGCTGGTGTGTGTGGGGTGGAGGAGGTTCTGGGGTCAGGGCAGGCTGGGTACCTTTGCAGATGTTGTTGTACATGCCATTGATGCTCCCAGGAATCGGCTCCCAGCCTGGGAGGCAGTAGCACCAGTACCACCCACAGGTATTGGTGCAGGTGGTGGAGTGGTGGCACTTATGCTCTCCGGAGCTGCACTCGTCCACATCTGGGGACATAGAGAGAGGGGTTGGGTCCTGCTGAAGCCAGGACCAGTGTTCTCCACCATCCGAGCTCCACCCCCTTTTCCCCCATTAGTGCCCTGCCTGGGCTGTGGTGCTGCCACCTAGCGACCTACACACTTGCATGTGTGATGAGGAGTGTGTGAGGCCTGATGCACCCCATGCCTTCTCTGTACTGATGCAGGTTGTGAGGCTGCAGAAACATGTCACCCCAGTTAGTTTTTTGCTGCTTCCCAGGTCCCTCCACAGCCTCTTCAGAACCCCTGTTCTTTTCCCAGGACCCTGGTCTTTCCATACAGCCCCCTGGATACTTTGGCCAAGGTATGTACACATGGCACAATGTGCACCCATAGGGACCATGTGTCCTCATAATCCCCTTGATCCCCAGTTTAGCCCTGTGTACCTCTTACATTCATGCACCTTCCCTTTTCCCTCTGTGTACTTGGCACTACCATCTTCTCCGTGGATGGGTCCTGGCTCCTTCCCACCCACTGCTGGATTCCACCTGGCCCCATGGATGCTGGAAGCAGCTTTCTTTGCCTAACCACCTTGCCCTGGAAGGAGGCGAATCCTGCTCATGCGTGCAAGTTACTCCTCCTGGGAATCATGGTGTCAGGCCAGACCATGGCAAGGATCAGAGCAAGTTGTGTGGAACTAGCTTTCTTCTGAGTGGCAGGGACATGGCCCCCAGGAAGACCCAAACCCTCTGAGCAACTCCTTCAATGGGTGCAGATGTGCTCATCTTTTAAACACATAAGATGAGTCCAGCACCCACCATGTTCCAGGCTCTCTTACAGGCACTTGTAATTTTCATAATCCTCCTGGAAGACACAGGAGGTCGGCACTGTAATGATCACCTTCATGATACAGATGGGTAGACCAAGTTCAAAGAGAGGTAGTGATTTGACTAATAACATACAGCTAACAGGTGGTGCAGGCAGGTTTTAGACCCAGGCAGCCAGATGCAGAGCTAGCCCCTGGCATGCATGCTACCCTGCTACTGTGCTGGGCAATAGGAACATGCACATCTGCCTCACACCAGGGCAACACTCCTGTAACCAGGGTTCTGCCATCTAGATGTCACAGGAAAGGGTCTGGCAACCTCAACCCTGATGATGGGGAGGTGGGGGAAGGGCCTACCTTGCAGCTGTTCTCATCTAATTAATAAAGGATTCTTGGCTCCAGAAATGAGCACACAGCCTGGGCTGTGCATGCAGCAATTGTGCCCTGTATGATCTGGCCGTCTGCAGATTTTCCACAGGGCACTCTCATGGCCCTCATTTGGTGATGTCTGCAACATAACGGGTCAAAGGCTCACCTCCCAAAGTTGTGCTTTCTCTCAGGGAAGAGACCCTGGTTCTCAGCCTGACCATGCTGTGAGACACACACAGACCTAAGACCCCAGGTGGACCTCCTGAGGCCGGGCTGCTCTGGAAGTCCCAGGACCACTCTGCTCTCTGGAGCAGAGCCCAAGGACATGTGGGTTCAGATTCTGTGCCACGGTGGGGCCTGGCAAGGGATCTACATCTCCTCTCCATCCTGGAGTGGCAGAGGGAGGCCCAGCCATTCCCTGGACCCTCCCCTGTGGGAATCTTTGCACCACTGGGGTCCTACAGGTGGTCTACGCTCAGGGACAAGGTGGCAGTGATGGCCACTCTTGATGCCTAAGCAGTGGGGGGTAGGAGATCATGGTCAAGGGCTTCCCAGAGTGACACTCATCATTAACATCTGAGGATAAAGCCAGGTGCTCAGAAAAAGAGCAAAGCTGGGCACATCCCATGACTTGACTTCAGAATCTACTGGGAAGCTGTAGTGACAACACAGTGTGGTTCTGTATGGGGAAAGACACACACAGCCCCGGAGTAGAACAGACAGCCCAGAAAAACCTACGTATTTACAGCTGATTTTTGATGAAGGTGCCAAGAGCGCACAATGGGAAGGACTCTTCAGTAAAAAGTGTGGGACCCTGGACATGCCAACCAGGAGGACATCAGACCCTCACCTCACACCACATAAAAATCACCTCAGATTAAATAGTGAAGGTCAGATTGGAGCTGCCCAGCTGCTTAGCGGAGAGCACAGGGGAGAGCTGCGTGACGGTGGCCTGTCAGTGATGGTTTGGACGGGACCCAAGACACAGGCAGCAAAATACGAACGGACCAAGGGGATCGTAGCCAACTAACAGCTTTTGAAAAGAAAAGGAAACAGTGGACAGAGTGAGGGACAACTCAGGGAACGGGAGGCACACTCACAAGCCACACATCTTATTAGGTGTTAATATGCAAAGTATCATGAGGAGCTTGATCAAGCAACTCAGCAGTAAGAAACCCGCTCACCCCATCCGCAAACGGGCAAATGACCTGAACAGACACTTCTCAAAGGACAACAGTTGAAGGGCCCAGAGGCCCAGGAGAAATCCCGTGCCATCGCCAATCCTCAGGGGACTAGAAATGAACTGTAGTGAAACATCAACTCACACCAGCTGGGTAGCTGTTTGGAAAGCCGGATGTGCACACGGGTAGCCAGCAGTCAGAGCAAAGGACAATATGCACACCATGGCTGGGAACTTAAGTGAGCCCTGCTGTGATGGAAGGCAGTGGGGACTGTCCTCAGATATTAAAAGTAGAACTGCATGGGATCCAGAAATCCTTCTTCTGGGTTTGCATGCAAAGGAAACCAGATCAGAATATTGATCTGACCTCTATCTATCAGTAGAGAGACGAGTATGCTTCATGTTGCAGCACTATTCCCAATAGCCAAGCTCTGGAGTCAACCGAGGAGTCCATCCATCCACAGGAGAGTGAATAAGCAGAAAACCCACCCACAGGGGGATGCTTTTCAGCCTTAAAAAGGGAGGAAACTCTCAATCACAATAATGCAGGTGAACCTGGAGGACATATGTTAAGTGAAATAAGCCAGGAAAAGAAGGACAAATACCACACGGTGTCACCTCCACGTGGGACCTGAACAGTCAAACTCCTGGAAGGAGAGGGTAGCATGGTGTTTCCCAGGGGTCTGGGCAACAGGAGGGGGTTGGAGAGATATGCATCCAAGGCACAAACTTCAGGTAGGAGGAGCTAAGTTCAAGAGATCTATTGTTCATATTTATTTATTTTTTTACCAGGGATTGAAGACAGTATACTCTACTACTGAGCCACATCCCCAGCCCTCTTAATTTTTACTTTGAGGCAGGGTTTCACCAAATTGCTAAGGGCCTTGCTTGCTAAGTACCGAGGCTGACTTTGAACTTAAGATCCTCTTGTCTCAGCCTCCTGAGCTGCTGGATCCCAGGTGTGCACCACTGGGTCTGGCCAATGTTCTATATTCTTGAAAATCACTAAGGGATTAGATTTGAAGTGTTCTTACCACAAAAATAAGCACCTGAGGCATTGCATATGTTAATCAGCTCCATTTAGCCTTCCCAGTGGGCATGCATGTTTCAAAATATCCTTCTGTACCTGATCAATATGTAAATACAAAAAAAAAAAACAAAAAAAAAACAGGAATATATTCCTGGAGAGGGATGACTGAGATGCCTGTGTAACAGGAATGCCCTCAGTGCCACAGAACTAGTATACTGGAACGTGGTTAAAATGATAAGTTTTATGG